GCATATGAGGTCGTCACTCCAACTAGTAGAGATTGTCCTACACAGCGTTTACTTGTAGAGGGCCGCTACTCAATTATTGTAAAACATTGTACAATATGCTATATGCCAGTTCTGAAGACTGTTCTTCTCTATAGGTTCTCATAAGGAACGATCCTGATTACCTACAGTTACGGGTTCCTTGTTATATATCAGAACTTTCTCGACTAAAATACGCGTAAGTTAAACCGGTTTATTATGAGTACATTAAAATATTAGAGATTGTCGCTTCATCTAATGGGCGTTTCTTTTACACTGCATTTATCGGTACTAGGTCACCATACGAGAGCTTTTCTTTGTAGTCGGTCGTTGTTTCTTTCAGCTCAGCCCATTGTCACTTCTGACAACATTGTCATCATCATTGCTATATCCTCATTCTATCTCATCATGAGATCAGAAATTATAAGTTTTTACACTGCATTTATTGCAATATTCCACCGGAGAGATTTATCTCGTGCGCCGCTTATATGAGCTGCAAAGATAAGTTTTTCCATTCATTGTAGAGGCAGTAAATATTAGTTTTATACAGCTTTCATTATGAACGTCGTAAAACATGATTTTATCCGGGCCGGCGTTGTATACCGGGTATTATCCTGGGCACTGAGCGTGAAGCTATACGCGTAACAACGGGTTACTTCGCTAAATGCCCTCTACGTTACATTGTATCAATCAGCGCCGGCGCTTGGTGCCCCTTAATTATTTATGCTAACTCTTAATGTACATATATCGTTCAATTATGTTTGTTTGTTCTATTGGACTGCCACGGGCGATCATAGGAAATGTAGTTTGTAGAAGTTTTTTCTCGTGTATTTATCTATTGCTAGGAATACGCTAACTTCCGGTCCTGTACATTCTACAAATCAGTAGATGGTTTTCTGAGATTTTTAAAACAAGTGTGTATTGAATTTGTATAAAGAAACTAAATATAGATAAATCTTTACCATAAAATATCAGCCGTTAATTGTCCACTGCTAAATTGGCCACCTTCTATTGGGTGCTTTTGCCAGTAGTTGCCATGCTTGGCAGGCGGGTTGACAACCGCAGTTAGGCCTTGTTGATGTTTTAAGAGGGACGTTGCTGACCATTTCTTTACCATTCATTCCCTTAGTCGCCTCTTACGACACCCATGAGAAAGGAAGGGGTGGCCTATACTATGCTGGGACCACACGGTGAAAGGCAAAAGTAACTTTTTAGTGACGAAAATGACGGACTTCCCATATAGTATTTCAGTTTCGTGGTGGATCATTTAACAATGATTCTTAAATATGTCTCTTGGATTTATACCAGAGCCCTGAATACGAAATTTTGTATTTTTATGTTAACTTAATTTCTATAATTTCACTAACTTCGACTTAGCGATAACTCTATCAGGATTATTAATAGTATTTACCTAAATATTTTGTGGACATAAATTGCGCGTAAATAAAATGTTACCAACCGCTGTTTTTACTTGATCTCTAATACACCGGTTGTCCATCATTATTTATAATAGGGTATACCGAGATGAATTTCCGCAAAATATCGGGTATTTTGTTGTAAGATCAAAAGGAATATTTATCTAATGGTCCACTGTTGGGCAACAGTTAATGGACATCTCATATAATTATAATCACCGCGTTTTAATGATTTGGATAATGGAAGTTAAAATAATGAACACGAGTTTTTGAAACACGCTTTTTGAAGCTAGACAGATCATGTTTAAATTTTATTCTACGGAAAAGAGAAATATATTAAATATATTTTTTGTTTTCTGCGTAAATCTTTACAGAGTTATAAATGTACCAGTATGTGTGTTTATTATTTTTTGGTTGGCTAAAAAACTAAAGAGACAAGCTGCTCTATTATTAGCAATTTACTTTTCCAGATCGACCTCCTCATGGTCACCCTGGAAATGATCGTGGTTAACTCTTTATGAATTCATTAATATGGACTAACTAATCTGCTTTCATTCTCACTTGTCATCCATCACTGGTAAACCGCTAGCATATACCGATAGCGCAGGCGGAGGTTACTATTTCTTTATAATCACTAAAAATACTTGATTTCATCCTATCGTCATTAGAAATCAGAAATAAAAAATTATAAGATTTTTTTCTGTATACTGTTTAATGGTCTAAACGCGGTTATCAACTCGCCTGCCAAGCGTAGCAACTACTGGTAATACCCTCCAAGAGGTAGGCCTATGTTAAACAGTGGACGGTTAACTGCTGATATCATATAAGGTATCTGGCTTAAAAGATAGATACACTTCATGAAACAAGTTACTATTTGCAACATGTTTCATTACATTAAAGTATCTTAACTTAATGAACAATACACAATATCGTGTTACGTTGTTCAACGCCGTTCAGAATTGCTAGCACAAACAAACTAGACGTGGCATCGATTGTAACTTCGCAACTGTCTGCCGGCTGCATTAACTGCATCGAGTACTAAAATTAAGCGAACATCCCATCTCTATAAATAGAACGACTGTCTCGGCAGACATCTCACTACGGAACCAGCTCTCATACCCAGTGCAATCACAACATACAAACCCACTGCCGTCGTATGATAGGCTCGCCTTTGTAGTGGTGTGTTGAGTTTTAGTAATTTGTACTTTAAATTTAGAGCGATAAGGTAGCTTTTCGCTTGCACGTTCACAGTACGATATAGGCTGTAAAGTTAGGTCAGAAAATGAAGAGCCATTTATAGTACTCTATCGTACTATCGTAGTATGCTATATATGTGTGCGTTGTATGCGAGGCGGGGTGCATTTGAGTGCAACCGCCGCTGTGTGGGTGTGGTCGGTACATGTATTTTATGAATGGAGCTGTTTATATTTGCAGTCTGAGAGTCGAACGCGACATTATTGATTTTTTCTTAGTTTAGGTTTTATAATGTACTACAACCTACTTACAGTTGTTATTCATTTGCTAAATAATTTTATAAAATAATCATAATGTAGCTAATAATTTGATATTTGGTGCAAAAAAGTATTATAAATAAGTCTGAAAGGATTTTAAAGGCGGGATTTTCAAATTATAGAGTGTATAGCCATCAATTCATAGTTGACGACACGTGACACACACGTGATATTTATACTTACTTCATAACTAGTATAATATTTATTTAATACAAAAATTTTGTTTAAACATTTACTGTAAGCTATTTATCTATACTAATATTAAAGAGAGAAAAGTTTTGATGATTTGTTTGTTGGTTTGTAATGGATAAACTCAAAAACTTTTCAACCGATTTTAAAAATTGTTTCACCTATAGAAAACTATAGTATCAGCTAGTAAGATATATTATTAGTTATATATTATTTTGGAAAATTATATCTCTACGTGCGAAGTCGGGCCCGATTGCTAGTCCTAAATAAAATTATTAATATTTCCTATATTCACGTAAGCTAATTTTTTTGTGAAACAAATTCTTAATTAATTAAATTGTTGTTTTCTAAGACCATACTAGCCGTATTGGTGTTACATTAAATGTATTTAAAAGTGTATTACAATTGTAATCAATAATACATAAGTTAATAAAATATGAAATTTTCTATATCGATACAAAGCGAGACCTCCCGAATAGAGTTTGCCATAAAAACACTATTGTATTGTCCACCGACAGATTCTGGTACGGGTAACGTTCCATACAGCAACATGTGTTTCGCGTCTGCCTGTTTGTTTAGGACCCCATTGTATTTCCGGTTTCTATAGTCCATGGGTTTACGGGTTTCTATAGTGTTTACAAACTTTAAGATTTTATGTGCTGTTTACAGTGCAGCGATGGAATTATATTACGAGGTATCGGAACGTGTTGAAAGCGGCCGACATATACTTAAAATTATTATACTATTATATAGTCTTTTAAGATTGTGTTTCCAAAAATAGAATTGCTTTGATTAAATTTTCACTCTAATTGATTTTCTTTTTACTAACATACTTTGTAAGGAAATTGTTACTAACAAAATGGACCAAATTGTAGTCTGAATAATAAAGTATATTATTATTATATTATTACAAAAAGCCCGACTTTAAATTTTGATAATTTTTTTTTTGATAAAATTTCCATTGGACCAATCTAGAAGTATATCTTTTCAGATAAATTTTTCAAATCAGTTTATAACTGACGGAGTTATGAAGTAACAAACATAAGAAGAAAAAAAACGAATTTAGAAACTCCTTTTTTATTTAACAAATTATTGTAAATTTGTTTTTAGTTCGTAAGCTGTATTAGTTGTCTTATATTGTATTGAATTATTTGACTTATATACATACGCACAAAAGGAAAAATTGTACTTGGATTTATGTATTTTTTTTAATCATTTATGTTATAATTTGTGTGCTGTAAGTAATGCAAATAAATTATCTATCTATTTATATTGTATTCGAATTTAATGTATGAATTGGGTAGAATCCATTCATCTTATTTTTACAATTTCATCGCAAAAAGTTTTGAAATCTAGTCTAAAATGGGATTTACATTTGCTTTCCCGCTAAGCACCTCACGGTATAGAAACATCTGAACTAAAAAAAAATCTAACATTTATAAATCAAAATTTTGGGATAGGTATAATAAATACATATATAATTGAACCAAAGGGAAACTGTACAAAAGTCGTTTACTTCGATACCTCTGTCATTCGTGTTTCAGCAGTTGTGTTTCGGTTAAAAGGATGGGATATGACAGTGAAATTACAGGGTACAGAGGAATTTAATACCTTAGTTATTAGGAATGGCAACACAGTATACTCAGTTATGTCCATGGTACTGTTTGTGTCTATATGTCTATAGGCGACGGTAACCACTTTCCATGAGGTGGGCCGTTAGCTTGTTTGCTATTCTAAGCAAATAAGGACTTGTATTGCAAATTCAAAATTGCATTGAAATTACATTAAATAAAAAAAATAAATTCTGTTTATTAAATATAATATAATAAAAAAGTTGCTGTAATATATAACAGTTTTGTTCTTTTTTCAGGTATTATAATTCAGAAGCAGCGCCCCAATACTACCTCTTGTAGCAATGGTAAGTGTTATTAATATTAATATAGAAAAAACGGCCAAGTACGAATCAGACTCGCACACCGAGGGTTCCATATAATTTATAAATAAAAAATTCACAAATAAAAATTATGATGTTACTACAAACGTACGTCTTGATTCCGTTGCAAATGTCAAAATATACGCTATAAACGGTCGTATCTTTGGATTGCGTTGACTTAGAAGTTTGATTTTTTCTCAGTTTTGAAGCATTGATGGCTTTCTATTATATTTCAGCTTGATACCTTCACGCGTTATTGAGAAAGTGTCTTGACAGACGAACCTACGGACGGACTACAGAATGGTCCTAGAAGGGTGCCGTTTTTCCTTTTAAGGTACGGAATCCTAATAAGGCTTAATACCATTTTATATTACAATCTATTCGTAAATGAGGTTACATCGTCTCTTGCCCGTTTAATCCTTAATTTTAAAATACTAATTTTATAAATAACAATGTGAGTTTGCCACCTCTTGGCGATTTGACAGCTCTACCAATCGTCGCAAAATATAGCAAATATATACTATATATTTAGGATGGAATAGGACATAGATCACTTGTTTTTCCGGCCAGTTAACACAATACTTGTCATACGGATGATGTCGCGGGTAAATGTTTATCAAAATATAAATAAACTAGTGTTGTAATAAACTAGTAAGAATGAAAAGGCATCCAGATTAATGCATCTGGAAGTCAAAAGGATGGTTTCCAGGGGAATCACGTGTAGGTCGACAACAAGGTATATTGCTAGCAATAAAACTGGTAGTCTGTATTGCTAACAATCCCATCCGTTCTGTAATATGTTGGTTGGCCTAGGCTAGAAATGGCCAGTACTACGTGTATGCTAAATTCATAACGATATTGTTTCGTGTCGTCACCTATTGTTGAGTAGTTAAGGCACCAAGAGGTAACAAACTTACTTTCATTTTAAAACATATCGTGACGGGAAATTTGTACGGTAACGTGCCGTATTACGGTGAGGTAAACAAGCGCTCGATATCTTTAGCTTCAAATAGCGAGGTGACCACAAAAAATGTGCCCCAATTAAAGAAATAGTTTTAAAGCAATAAACATAGTTATCATAAGAATGTCAGCACTAACCACTACTAATATGCAGTAAATACATAAAATCCACATTTCCTTACTCTATACATGTGGCCACCATAAAGATAAGATAGTTTTACAGTTATTCGCCTCAAGGTAATAAGAGCGCTACTGTGTGGCCTCGCCTATCGTTTTATCGGAAGATAAATAAATTATCCCTATTGATATATTGAAGGATAGGCGATTTAAAATCGCACTACAACACTTCTGGTTTGTTGTTCTGGTTATTTCTGGGCTCACGTGATTTTTTAAGTGGTTTTGTGATGTGTATTTTAAGAGATGAAATGGTACTGCCCTTTAATTGCTGTGGTCCATCCATATTTTTTTTAATGGAGCAAAAATGGAGTGGTGTACCCTTAAGTTTTCTTGGCGGTGAACCAGTGGAAGATGGTAGATGAGGATGAAAGCAAGCCAATTGGCCCAATGTGATTATTTTTACATGAATTAACTACCATGGTTCTATGGAAACCGCGTGGAGGTTGACTTGTTAGGGTATATTGCTAGCAATGCGGCTGTTGTACCTTTTTACTAATAATAACTTTCCGTCCGGTCCATTAATACTTTTTAAAGTGACTTTAAAAAATACATGCTACGAAATTTGGCTGATTTTTTACGACTATACCTATTAAGCGACTACAAAGCCAATTCTAAATGGATTTTAATATTTCCCATTTCAGTATATAAAGTTTAATTCTGTACTCTCATATTAATTTTGTTACTATTTATTTATCCTGAATCATACTGATTTGACTTAATTATTGATAAGCTCCAAAGTTGCGGACATAGCTCAGCGGATTTGCAAGCTGAAATTAGAGGGGGGAGGGATTGGTAATAAGGGAGACTAAGGGCCCCATTGCAAGCAATATGTCTAACCAGGTACCCACGTAGTCCCCCCTAGAAACTATTGTTCTGAATTCTAAGTGTATTCATCACGATGGGCTAACTGACCTGTCTTTTCATCCTCACCTATCATTACTCTCTGGTGCCCCGCCAGTGTATGCCGATAGCGCAGGAGGGGTTATTATTCCATCATCATCTATTAAAACAAAAAGCTGAAATAGCAATGGACTGGTCATATCTGCTATAGGACCGACAACCATTGGAACAGACAGTATGAGCCTTGTTGTTAGGTAGAATGACGACATACGTAGAGTGGCTGGTAGAAACAAAGAGTTTAAAAATTGTGGTCCCTAAAACTGTTTTTTTTTTTAAATATCTCTCATGTACAAATAACGTCTGTTTACATTTTTATTATATTAGTAAGACAAATATATGTTTTCTAAATCCGTAATGACTCTAGTTGATTCTACCTAAACAGCTAGACAGATAAATCGAAGCAAATCTAGGTTAGATTATTTAAATCCTAGTCTAAACAAATATTTTTAGAATTGGTTTTATCGTATAAATTTTAGTGGTAATACAGGTAAATATTTAACCTTGAAATACTATTACCTGGGTTCTTGTATGTATTTTTGTAAAAGAAACAATTTTTTCTGTCCACCCATGATGATAATTAATATAAAGAACAAAGTACTGGAATATTGCTACGGATTATATGAAATGAAACAAGTAATATGAGTTAAATTAATTTAATCACATTTTTCCATATGTGTAATTCTAGAAAATATATTAAATATAGAAATACAGTAGTATTGATTTTATTTTGATCTTTCAGTCGTTTTAATCAATAACTATATAAATACTAAAGGTAAAAGACCTTGATGTAAACAATTGTTATATATAATATATATGCATATTACGCGCCAATCTAGTTTTATTTCGGCGGTATTATCGACTTACATTATCTTAAACCTATTCGTTAACGTCGACTTATCTATTAAAGTACGATAAACTAATGTATTAGGTCAAGATATTGATTGCTCAATAATCACCCAAGTATTAATGATGTCACATACATACATACGGCTGTATTTCCAAATGGGATAGATAGAGTATCATTATAAAAGTTTCCATAGTTCATGTAGGTATGTTTATTTTATATGTAAACACAATATTCTTTGCGTAAGTTGTGTACGCTGCATAACATAGTAGTATGCAGTTTTAGGGGTTTCATTATGATTGGACTGTAAAATATTCACAAGCGTAATAATTTCATTTTTTAATACGTAAAAATATATTTAGTAGTAGCTTTTATCCGTTACTTGTACGCTTGCATTTTAGGATACAGTATGTCAACTAGATTTTAAGTTGGAACGTCAGGAATGCACCCAATTTGCTGCACAAATTTTTGCGTGATTACCGAAACAAACGTACAATTTGAAAGACAGAAAAAAAAAAGAGTAGTATTTAAAGATTTTTTTTTCTCTTGTAAAGACTTCTCATATGAAATGATGATGATGATGATGATGATAATTTATATACAGATGTCGGTCAGTTAAAATTGTATTACGTTTATTTATTAATTTACAGGTAAACACGTTAACAGATACATTCTATTTTGATATTTTCAATAAATTACAATCCTGTAGAAAGTGCTAGGAGCTGGGGAACAAAATCTTTCTAATTACTAAAGAATATATATAGATATCATTATATTAACTATTAATAAATTATGCAGAATCAATAAATTATTTAATAGGAAAACCGTTCAATGATTATAATCATGCGACGTACACGGTATCATTCAAGGATGAGAATACGAATGGATTCGACAACCGACCACTCCGGTTTATCGTGCGTGATAGGTCACTCTGCTGATCAAGTAATGTGCATTTTTGCACTGGAAACCGCATTATTTTATTCAATGGTTTTCGAAATTGACGTGGTCTCACATAAATGGACATCTCTTATAGACTAAACAATAAAAAGTAACTTTATCACTCCAAAAAAGAAGACTTCAATCTTGATAAAACATATACAGATAAACAAATATTGAAAATATTCGAATATTTGAATTTAGAACGGAAAATCGTGTGTAACTAAAACAGTTTTTTATCCATTATAGAAAATCAATAAAGAGCCAACTCGGGTTGGGGATAAGATAACGAGTAAACATTTTAATCCCAAAAAAATTTGATCTAGGCAAAAAATGTTTCATAAATTAGCCTGATAGTGAATCGAACCCGGGACCCCGTTAACGCAATGCACTGTGCCGCCGAGGTCAAATAAGATGATAACCCTGAGATAATTAAGGCAACCCTGAGAAAAAGTTGTCACTTGACAATTGGATAGTATTCAAAGATGGTTATAAAACGCAAATAACAGTTGAATGTAGTAAAACAAACAATACGTTTACTTGCGTCATATATTGCAGACAATGCTTTGTAACCGATTTGTACAGGTGTATGCCGCAGCACCCTAGACCCGGGACAATAGGATCTGTATACTATCCATGCCACCGGGTCATTCTCTGTACACTCATTAAGAGTATGATTTCGTAATGACGTCAATAAATTTAAAATTGACACAGTAAATATTTGAAGACATGGTATGAGTGACTGACTGACCTAGGTACCTGTTGTCTAAAATGTGACAAATAAAAGTGTGGTTAGGATTAGAATCTTCAAATATGAGTTTAAGAAATAGGCATCTACTAAGAAAGGAATTGCTGAAATTCAAACTGAAGTACAAATATCAGGTTTATCTGGATAGGAACAAGAAATGTCGTGAGCTATAATTGAAAGATGCAGTATCTTGAATTTGTAAGTGATGGGTCAAAATTTGACAGATTTCTATCCTGCAAAAAAGTTAGTTCTTTAGTGCGAACTCAAACACATATTATGTGAGAACGTTCTTATATTACCGCATATGTAAAACGATGTTTATATGTATTTGTTAAGATTTGTTAGCACTTAGAAAAAAATTAAGTCAATTCGACTCAGACATTAAAACTCAGAGACATTATCATCCTCATATCAGCCCTTAATGGTCCAATGTTAAACATAGGCCTCCCCTTATTGGGGGTTTTGCTAGTAGTTGTCACAAGGTCAGCCATGGTGTATGATAATGTTATAACAATGACCTTGTCAACATCAAGACTTCCTTAAGGTTTCTCTAGAAGAGAATGCTATTAGCATTAAGTCCACCTAGTACCACGTATTCTGCGGTTAGTAAAGCTATAAATAAATCAAATACGTCAAAATTACCGCGACTTTATTAATAATTTAAATTTATTGCGGATATGGGTGACGCGAACACGACGTTGTATGACGTCATAATTGTACCTACACACCTAGAACAATGAGAGTACATTGACCAATCTTGGTTGCGATTATACACTGCACACACACATAAAATATTCTTAGAATATGTAAGATCACACGTTGACAGGAAGTTCTAATCTTGAATATTACGTTTCTAATGCCATATCCTGACCCTGGCTTCCTGTTTTCCCGCCGAATCAATTTTCACCGAAACCGCCAAGATCATCCTTGATAAGGTCGCTTCCGAACAAAATGACATCTAAAATAATAACATACGATTATAATGAAACCATAGCGAAGCAATAAAAGAGATAAAATCTAAACTATTTAATTCTGTTAGTAATAGAATTTTAAAATCCCATTAGCCACAGCTATTGAGGGCAAACACGAATATTAAAGTCAAATTAAACGGTAATCGCCAACAAGTAAGGGGGATATTCTTGGCTATGATTTCTTTTACTGAAATGAAAAAAATATAAGCTCTCATACTACCAGTGTGTGATGAACGCATACTAATCTATTACATAATCAGAGAATCTACTTTCTGTACTGAGATTCATAGTGCTCGAGGTTCGTGTCAAAAGGGTCAGCAATGTAGATGATATCTCTGATGTTAGTCCAGAGGACAAGATAGTGTAATCAGAACTAACTCCTGTAACAGAAAACTAGAGGTGTAACCCTTTACATTTTTAGAGTAACAATGCAATAGAATATTACCGAGATTGTTTGTCGAGTTTTACACGAATAACATAATGATAGTACAAATGTTTAATTCGTTAGACTTTGCATGTGCCTACCATGTTAATAATCTGTACAGAAAGTGAAAGTTTAAAATCATGATTTTTTACTTAAGTAAAATGAAACTAGTAACTATTTTGTCTCTTGCGGATTCTTCTCTGCAGATAACACCCTGAACCCAGCAGTAGTCATAAATATAACGATTTTTAAAGAGGTTGTAAACGAATCTATTTGAGTCAAGATAATTTCTGTTCTAACTATATGAGTTCTCATATGTCATATTCTGCTATCCATGCAACCATGTTTGGTAATTACTTTCCTACAGGTGAGCCGTCGTATTGTTTACCCGTAGTATGTACACCAAAACATCCCCGTCTTTATATAGCTAGTGGATCAGAATATCTTGGTCGATGTTGGATTAAGAAACGGGGTAAATGGTAAAGATTACGGCGGGGCGTGGGCTGAATCGAGGCCATGACGAAACACTGATTGATAACGTCCTACGTACGTATACCGATATCATTGTTGCTATGCCAAGTAGACACGCGGTGCCAGATAATTCAGTCTGCCTTTTTATTTTTAGCAAGTAATTATAGATGACAACAATAGTATCCAATTACTGGTGCATTGCAATTGTAACGGATGTACTTTAAAACATAAGTAAGGTTTCTGGGGAGTGGAGAGAGAGAGAGAGGACTGAGAGAGGAGTTAATCTTCGTAAACGATGTGTATGTATGAAAAGAGATGAAATAAAAGATTTATATAACGCTAGAGGTTTTTTGTATTCAATTAATTTTCTTTGTAGTATAAAAAGTCTGATTTACTAATAAAATTTGATACAAAATTCGAATTGTTGGATAGGAGCGTTGCACAGTGTTTTTATTATTCGATTTATGTGCAATTTTAACATTTTATTTTACTTTTCAATATTTATTTAGAAATATTATTTATTAATTATAGAATGCAGTTGTTACCCAACTTATATACGAGTATAATTACCTACCAAAGATTCATATATTTGACACATCGGTCACTCAGTGTGACATCCCTTTCCCTTGTATTGGATTCGTAAGCTCAGTAAAAACGCAATCTCATTCCGCATATATTAATCTTGGTCGCACCTTCCACCCCTCTATAGTACATTTTGTTAAAGAGATTCGTCACGCCGTAATTTGACTAAATTGTTAATGCATTTCACACGAAGTTCACAGTTTCACAAGTCTTTGTTAACTTTGTCAATTTCAACACTATTAAATGTAATAGTTTTTACCGCGTCATCCTTTTCAAGTGCTCTAAGTTTGAGATATTATGACGTGACTATACACTTTTGAATTTCCGCATTGATTGATCGATCATTCTTAACCTTTTCTTTTTATCTGCAACCGTTGTTTGATAGTGGATACTCTAGATAATATAGCCTGTGAAACATCAATGATTTCTAAAATATTTGTACTAGCACTTTTAGTTAACGGTCTCTATGTGAGTATTTACGTAGTACGTGAGTAAAATATTGTATTGATTTGCATTACATATAATACGAAGTTATGTTTCGTTAATTTCATTGTTTTCTGTGTCATAGCTTCCATACACTGTAATAACTTCTAAATTTATACTGATAGTTGAATTAGGTAATTTGTTCTTACTAATATTATAAATGAGAAAGAGAGTTTTACTTGTAAGTCTCCTCTTGATTCTGTCATGATCAGCATAGAAATTTGAGATACGTTACATGTGTTTGACATGAAGAGAGATATTCTTATCGAGTTTAAATAGTACACTTACGCAGATGAAGTCCATTGGACACCTTAAACTGTTATAAGAAAACGAATAATTAAGTTGTCATCGACAGAATAAATAAATGTACCAAATATAATTACAAGCACTTGATTGGCAAAGTATAAAATCCACTAGTCTCAACGGTCGGCAATGCGCACTTGACACACTTAATGTTGCAGGCGTTCAGAGACTACAGTGACCGTTTACCATCAGACGGGCTGTATGCTAGTTTGCCACCTTTGTGGTATTAAAAAAAGAAATTAGTTTCACCTATTTTGTTATAGTGCCTCAGTTGTTTTACACATTAGTGAACATCATTGAAAATAAGACGTTACCTTCGTAGACTTTTTATCGAAGTAGTTACAAGAGACTTACGTTTCTACTATTATATTATTATTACGATGAAATAGTGTATTATCGTTAAGTATAAGTAATTTGAACTTTTCCGCTTTGTACTTAATTGAGTGTAACGGCATAAGAATACAATGTGTCATCACTCATCACTTCTTATCCCTGGGATGTCGTAAGAGGCGGCAAAGAGAATAAAGTACAATTTAACAGTGCAAAAGAAAGTGGTCTGACCAGCAATGTAATAATAGGCTAGGATTATTTTATATGGAACCATGAACAGCAGCAGGGCATTGTAAGGGTTGTTATGGTTATGGATTCTATAAAAGGAGTTGGATGGTAGAAAAGGCTAATGGCATTAACCCTATCTATTCTACAACTTTTTATTGGTCAATAAAGTTAGTAATGTTTTAAATATTATTTTATCATTTCTTCCTTGAGCTGCATCAGTAATTTGCATAATTGGTGTTGCCACAGATAATGTGGCTGCATTATTACGTGAGTTACAAGTATATGTTTATTTACCACTATTTATTATTTTTATTGTATTATAAAATTGTATCAAATAATCATAAAGCTTGATACTATTTCTACTGACTAATCTATGATCGTTTTAAACGGACTGCTATGCTTTCGGGTATATTCAATTAGCATGTATTTCCGGATCTTTAACGCAACGCAACAACCAAAAACGCTTGAAGTATTTTAATAAATGGGGCGTTGTTACTCGTAAATTCCTCTTTAATTGTGGGTGTAGTGTAACACACAGCAAATGGTATAAAATAAATATAACTGTCATTGACTGTCAAAAAGCCGTGAAATTTAACTGTCAGTTTATTACTTTGTATATTTACTTATTTAAATTTGTAATTTTATATTATTTTTATCAAAATTTTATATCAGTGTTTATTCTTGTTACAGATTCCACGTGACACGTCAGATGCAGTACTTTATATCATCACTGTGTTTCCACCATGTTAGATTAGCCTCTGTATGTTATAAATTATTTAAAGAATATAAAACATCACAACTCCTACCTCCATCTGGTGCATTAGTAACTTGCAGTTATCGATTATCAGCGGAACCACTTTCACCTTCCTAATACCTTACATTATTACGTGATAACGTAGTACTGCAGTTTCTTTTGTATTTAGGAATAATTTATTTGTAACATACAGTGCACCAATATAACCATATGAATTATTATTGTTATTTAAGTTATCATTTACATTGATAAGTTCTCGCAGGGAATCGCAAAAATGCTTCCTTAGTTTATAAGTTATATGACTTTCTTTATCGTGATCCCAATAACGTTTTTCTGCTTTCCTGCGAGATCCTGACACGTTCGCGCATTTCTTTTTTATTGTATTGTTTTTGTTTTATTTATATACATTATAGATTTTTTTTAGCTATTTTGAATAATATTGACTAACAAACACTAAACATTCTAACGCATGACTTTTCATTTTTAGAATTCAACTCGCGAGTGTGCATGACGTAAAGTTTAATATTTTTAATTTTATTTTTCTTTATAATTATTGTTATATTTAGACAACTTGTTATACTGACATGTTTATTGTGTAATATTTAATTATTATTTTATTGATTATGAAAATGTTTACTTCAACAATTCGTCTTATTATAAGCAATGAAATATTTATATTGAGATCTATTGCAATTGTCGTAGGCCTTGCTCCATAAAACTTGATTTTAGGTTAAATCTGTTGAAATACTTAAATTCGAGTTTTAGTCAATGGCAATACCCGGAGATTGCTTTCTTGTTTTTTTAAGATGAAAAATTTGATTATGCAATCTGTTAAATGTGATATCAGTGAGAATTTAATATTGTTTTATTTAATATGATTTGAAATTTGTAATAAACGTTTCGGCATGATCTGTTAGTTTCATTGGAGTGAATGGATGAATGAAAACTATTATTCACTTTAAAGAAAGATACATGAAATATATAGGCAAAAACAGCATTATATGAAGCAGGTACAGAGGCAACAATGGACGGTCTTATCTTTATTGAATGGAAAAGTAATCTCCTTCAGGCGTCTTATGATGAAGCAGAGCATCTGGTAGAGGTGTAACAATACGTTTAATAAAAAATAGTTAATGGAAATCAAACATCACTACTAGGCAGACCGTATGTCTAAGTATTGAAAGAAGCCATCGTAATTAACGAATCTTTACAACACCAAAGGCGTAAGATAATACTTCCACGTTGCCAATCCTTATAATAACTATGAATATGTTAACGCCATTAATTTTACTAACAGTATCCTGATATGTATATTCGTCCTTCAAACCGAAACAAAGCGAAGCAAGCATACTGCGTGGGGCAGAAATAGGTGAGATAGAGTTGACTTTATAGGCAGATGACTTTGTCTCCCTTTGGTATATCCGTGCACTGATGAAGACGTTCCCACGACAATTTTGCATATCTTGTTGAATAGCATTTGGAGGTCGGACATAAAGTCATTTTTCAATTAATCCAATGTCATCAGGACAGCGCGACCTCTTCGGGCAGGCTAAGTAAGCTGTATTCAACAAAGTTTCGTGCTCTGTCCATCCGACAATCTACCTTATTGTTGGCTCATTAACAACTAATTTATGTTATTCGTCATTCTCATATCAATGTAGACTTTTAGCAAATTTGAACAGTTGGCTTGTCTTGGAACTACTAAATGATCGCATTGGCAGGTCCAACAGTGTAATATTCGGGTCATTGCTGAAGGTCACGTGAAGTTTTCACGAGATTTTTGTACCATTTCTCGTATCTAGAACGCGGTTGTTTATATTTGAACTGGATTGCTTTTACTGTGTCAGTGGAGTACAGCTGATTTACACATTGTTGTGGCATATCTAGAAGTAGTTTAGTACTGAAATATATAGTCTTTATGTTTATTGAAACGATATTAGGTACATTTTTACTTATTGTTACAAGGATATAATAATTTTATATCGTGCAATCGTCGTTTTAAAAGTTTTGAAATTAGAATCCTTCTTGCTCTGAAATTGAAGGCTAATTTCTTCCGCGATTTGGGTGAGTTTTATTTGTCCAAGAATCGAACAAAAATAGTCAAGCAAGTACAACCGTTTACCAAGGAAGAGACGAGTGGGATAGAAATACCCAGACGAAATATAGTCTCCACACTGGCAAATTGGATCCACCTTCTATTTGATGTCGGTTAATTAGTACTTACTTCAGTGATGTCTGCCGGGTCGTCCGCACCTTATCAGCCGAGATCTTTCTATTATCTTGGCGACGCCGGCCATTCACCCTCGTTCGCAAAGATAATTAGATAGTTATCTATCATATCGCCTATATTTGCCAGGGCGATGGCCGATCACGAAAATTGAGTTTAAAATCTAATTTATGATATTACTGTACAAACAGAGACATTTAAGGTTTTAACCGACTTTGTAAAAGAGGTTTGCAATTTCACTGTACTTTTAAGTTAATATGTTGAATGTAATATCTTCACTAAGTAATAGCTAATCGAATATAGTTCTTCAAATGTCTACTTCTTAATCAAGATAGAATTTTATTTTATTTTATTTTATTTTATATTAGATTTCCAAAACAACAGTAGTGGTACCTAATAATAGTAATAAATTAATAATAACCTAATAATAAGTAGATTCCTTTTTTTATATTTTATTTTTACATCATGAATTTTTAAATAGCAGCCCCGTACAGACAAATACAGTGTAAAACGGCTCCTCTGTGAATGGAGAGATGACTTCAAAAGCGTTGCAGGGAGTTAATGAATGCAAGTGCTTAGGCCTGTTCCTTATGACAGTCTATTGGGGAGATCTATGTTTAACAGTGGGTAGATAATTGCTGATAAGATGATATATTTTATTGTGCTTACATAAACCAATATATAACCTCAAGATATTTTTTTAATAGGCAAAATGAGGTCAGATCTTTAAGTATCAAGGCCCAATTTTAAATATTCGGCACATTGAAAATCGTAAGCAATTATTTGTTAAAGAGAAAATAACCAATAAATTGCGTCTGAGTTTAAGAAGTCACACCTTTTATATCTCAATAAGAGTGGCGGACATTGGTATTCATGTCGATGAAATTAATTAATAAAAAAAAATATAAACTTACAGCAACATTTTTATAAATGGCAACAGCATAATACGGTATATGTCAATAAAAGTGGTCACAACACTGGTTTTAGTGCTTGCGAAATTTTATGAGTTCACTGGATCGCCGACAATTTCGATTTCTAAAGATCGCAATCCAGTATCGGATACGAATGCGCACGCGCAGCAATGAAGTAATAGGAGTTGGGGAAATAAACAGAATTATTATACTCAGTTATAATTAAATATATATTTTATAATAGAAATGTAACATAATAGGAGAAATTTGATTTTGAATGAACGGTAGAATCATAAAAAAGATTATTAAAAAATGTTCACACTTAAATTTACTTAAATATAAATTCTTTTTTTTTCTATATATTTTATATAATACTAGCTAAACCGGTGAACATTGTTTTGCTCCTTTTTTTTTAAGTTAGAACAATCAATACACATTTACAAAATTTCATTAAAATCGGTTGAGCGGTTTCGAAGATTAGCGTGAACGAACATCGAGACACGGAATTTTTATATATTAGAAAATTAAGAGTATATTGAGTATGGGGCATATTTCACCACCCTATTCATTTATAAAAGCGTCAAATGGTTTTTTATTTCGAGTAGTTCATCTGAAAAAGATAAACGGACATGTTACATAGATAAATTAGCCTTCCATTTTTGTAAATAACACGGAATTTTCATTGAAATGAAATTGGTATTCTGATCTTTGGTCTGATTGTATGTGTGTGTTCTCAGATCATAGATGGAGTGAATATGTTTTTTATTTTAATTCAACGAAGCAAAAGCATGGAAAGCAGTCACATGTATTTATGATATTACATTTGTATGTAGCCTTTATTTAGATAAACTTAGTCAATAACAATGCTTTAAAACAAACATTAAACTTTAAAAAACGTAATAAAACAAAATAACTTATTCTAGTAATTGTTCCTCGTTTATTTTCTGTAGATCTGTTTGCCAATCGGGAAAGATTTTCTCCAACCGTTTCCATTCTCGTCTTTCTTGAGCCACTCCATCCCATGTTGCTTCTGCCACTTCCCTGATGTCATCATCCCATTTTATTTAGGGTCTGCCTCTTTTCCTTTTGCCTTTCCTGGGATACCATCTTGTCACTTTCGTACTCCTTTTGTCAAATCCTCTTATCATGTGCCCTGCCCATCTCCATTTGAGTCTTTTAATTTTGTAATTTTTGTTTTTTATACAACTTAAAATGGCAAACAAGCTGAGGGTCCACCTGATGAATAATGGTAACCGTCGCCTATAGACATGAGCAGTACCATGGACATAACAGAGTATACTGTTTCACCCATTATACCCCCCATGCGTTGCCATTCCTGAGGACTCAGGTGTTATTCCTCTATACCCTGTAAATTCACGCCATATCCCACCCTTCAAACCGAAACACAGGCAAACAAACACAACTGCTTTACGGTTGAAACACGAATGGGACAGAGGTAACCAAGCGAACGACTTTAGTACAAAGTCTATATATGGTATAGGTATAATATTAAAAGATTATAACGCTTTAACGGCTTAACCAATCATTATGAAATTTTGTATACACATACAACATGGAATGAAGAAGGACAGAGGCTACTTTTTATTCTGGTTACGTGAACAAAGTCGCAGGTAAAAGTATCTTAATAGTTCTTCAGATTTTTCTCGATATATATGCAAAATAATGTCATAAATAATAATTTTATTTATAGTACTACGTATTTATTACGAAAATTAGGTGTGTATATAATAAAGATATGTGATATTATATTGGCATCTCGATGTATTAAAACACTGTTATGCAAAAACTTGAAGTCGTAAATCAAAGTCACTCCCTAGTCACTATTAGTTCATTCAAGAAGCAAATGATAGAATTACAATAGACAATTGAATGTGAAATACCAGATCAATATTATATAGATAACGTCTCTATATTTTGGCTGTCATTTACAAACAATAAAACTATATTTATCATTATAAAGTTCAGGTTTTTTTTCTTTACACTTGGACAATAATTTAAAAACAATTTATCTTTTTTTTTCTGCTACATATATCATCATATATAATTTTATTAAACTAATAAAAAAGACTTAATTACCTATGTAACTAGTAACGTTTTTCGGGTGAATTATAATAGAAAGTGTTTCGTATGTGTTAAGCATAATGTTGCCGTGTGGTCCCGGCATAAAATGGATCAATGGTTGTCATAAGAGGCGACTAAGGGGCCTTAATGCTCGAGGGATAGACAGCAGCGTCTCTCTTAAAACATTATCAATACCTAACTGCGGTTGCCAACCCGCTTGCCAAACTTGGCAACTACTGGCAAAACCCCTCTTATAGGAGAGGTCTATATTCAGCAGTGGACAGTTAATCGCTGATATAATAATAAGTATTAATCCAAGGTATGGTCTGTGTATGGATCAAATTTCGTTCAATTCCGTTAATCTATTGTCGTATAACAAACATCTAAACATACAGATTAAGTTCCAATAAATAAATTCTAACATTTACAAAATTTATAGAATATCCTAATATTTTTTTAGCTTAAGTCTCAATCTAATTTTGTTTTCGAAGTGATAATGATAATGATTTGATTATCAAATGTTTTTTTTATACAACTTAAAATGGCAAACAAGCTGACGGCCCACCTGATGGAAAGTGGTAACTGTCGCCTATACACATGAGCAGTACCATGGACATAACAGAGTATATTGTTTCGCCCATGATACCCCCCATACATTGCCATTCCTGAGAACTCAGGTGTTATTCCTC